GAATAAATCCTAACAAAAATTCAAAAAAACCAATCTCCGATTTATGTAAAAAATTTTTTTTAGAAAGTCCCCAAAGTAACAAGATACAATCCCGGAGAATTGGGGTCCATGCGAAAAAAATTCTAAAAATAAAAGAAATGGTGTTTCTAGGAAAAATACTTTTTTTTATTTTTAATTTCCGCAAGGACCCCAATTCTCCGGGATTGCCACAAAAGACACAAAATAATTTTAAAAATTAAAAAAAATTGCCTTGTATCTGTATTAAAATGCACATCCATAATTGCTCCTTTATGTCCAGTAATTGTTGAGAAATTCTCACACTCTCCTCGAGCGCTCCACAAAACTAAAAATATTTTTAGAAAAATATTTTCCCCTTAAATTTCTCTAAATTACATATTTTCATATCAAATCCAACAGATGCCAATATATTTCCATCATGACTGAATCTCGCCCCAAAAATTTCCCCCTCATGTCCAGTTAAGAGCATTATGGGACTTTGAAGTGATGAAGGACGTTGGTTACCATTTTCTTCATTTCTTGTTCCTTCAACGGGTACAAGCGCTCCTTCATCGAGTCGAGGACGTTTAACATCTTCAAATAAATTAAAAAATATTAATTAAATAATAAACCTTTAGGAGCTAGTGGCAATGCAGGTCGTCTAAATACTTGGGATTCTGTCATATTAAAATTTCTACAAAATTTAATAAAGTTTAAGCAAATTTGGAAATTAAATAAAATCTTGAAAATTAAAAATGAGTGCCCATTTTAGGGTAGGAGACGACTCAATATCGTGATTCGCTATCAATTTTTAGATCAAAATATAATTAGGGGGAAATGTTCAAATACCGAGTTGTTAAAAATGCTGGGGATGTTGTTAGTGGACGGCGGAAGTTGTTCCAACAACGGGGAAATTTGTAAAACATTCACTGGGCGCGCTCCTGTCCTCGGTCTCAACTGGCCTCGACCGTCAGTTTTACGGTTAAGGACGATTCAGTATCGCCGATTCAGTATAGCCAATTCAGTATCGCCGATTCAGTATCCACCGATTCAGTATATGGCCATAACCTTCCTGATATCGACCGATTTGAATAATTCTCATATCATTCGAAAGGTCTCGTGATTCGACATCGAATGTTGTGACTTATACTAGGTTTTTTGTTTTTGGACCGATTAGGTCAAGTGAGGTGTCATTCGAAAGAGCTTCGAAAACTGAATCGAACTAGGGGTGGGAGAAGTTGGTACGACAATCAGGGGTCGAGTTACAGACCCCTGAAGTTTGAAAAAGAGAAGGGGGGGGGGGGTAAGCTCATTTTGGTGTGAAAAATTCGAAAATGCAAATAATAGCTCATTCGAAAGAGCTCCTCGAGCTGAGTCGAAAGACACCAAAATCATCGAAATCCGACTTGATTGGACAAAGTTATGATCGTTTGTTTTAGCTCCTTACCTATGGTCTATGTGGAGGTTTTTGATGCTACAGAGGCCCCAAGTACGTCCAGAGCAAGGGAGATTGGAATAGGTTTATGTTACTGACCCAGACCCAGCGACCGTTGACTCTCCGCGAGGCGCGTGCCGCAAAACTCCGCGCGAAGCGCGGAGTTTTGCACAAGCGCCTCGCTTACGCCCCATAGGTTTATGTTGACCATTTTGAACCTGTTTATCTTGGCTCAGAATCAAGATTTCGAGCTGATTTTGGTGTCTTTCGACTCAGCTCGAGGAGCTCTTTCGAATGAGCTATTATTTGCATTTTCGAATTTTTTACCACAAAATGAGCTTACCCCCCCCCCCCCTTCTCTTTTTCAAACTTCAGGAGTCTGTAACTCGACCCCTGATTGTCGTACCAACTTCTCCCACCCCTAGTTCGATTCAGTTTTCGAAGCTCTTTCGAATGACACCTCACTTGACCTAATCGGTCCAAAAACAAAAAACCTAGTATAAGTCACAATACCCTCGACATCTTTTTCATAATTGGCCCGATCTGATCTGATGATCTCAAAAAAAGTTACAGCGTGAAAACCGATTTTTTATGCCTGTGACGTCGTTTATCAGTGATAACTTTTTGTAGAGTGATAGGATCAGGTCAGTCCAATATGAAAAAGATGCAGCACCCCGAGACCTATCAAATCATATATAACAATTCCTACAATATTGATCGAGCAAAAAGTTATGGCCAAAAAACCCAAATACTGAATCGGCGATACTGAATTGGCGATACTGAATCGTCCCCTACCCTCAGTTTTACGGTTGGGGTCAGTTGAGCGCGGCCGGTTGAGCCCCGCCAGTTGAGACCGGGCGGTTGAGACCGAGGACAGTTGAGCGCGGGCCGGTTGAGACCGGGCCAGTTGAGCGCGGCCAGTTGAGCGCCCCTTGTTAACTGGCCAGTTGAGCGCGAAACGGGGAATGTTGTTCCAAAGACGGGGGATGTTGTTCCAAGGACGGGGGAAGTTGCTCAAATGACGGGGGAAGTTGTTCCAAGGACGGGTGATGTTGATCCAAGGACGGGTGATGTTGTTCCAAGGACGGGGGATGTTGTTCCAAGGACGGGGGAAGTTGCTCAAATGACGGGGGAAGTTGTTCCAAGGACGGGTGATGTTGATCCAAGGACGGGTGATGTTGTTCCAAGTATGGGGGATGTTGTTCCAAGGACGGGGGAAGTTGTTCAAATGACGGGGAATGTTGGTATACAGACGAATCGAATGGTATATAGTCTGAGTTCCGATCCCGGTGGACCTATACTAAAGCGAGAACAACTTCCCCAATATTCGGACCAACTTCACCCGTTTCTCGAACGGGGGAATGTGTTGTTTCATTTTGACTTATGTTCCGAACATGAGTCAAGGTGTTCCAAACATGAGTAAACAGTTTGCCAGAGGTTTATCAGTAGAGCCCGGATTTTTATGCATTAAAAAATGCAAAATATGCACTATAATATGCATAAAAAATTGCCAAAATATGCACAAAAATATGGAAGTAAACCAAAATATACACGCATATATGCATGAAAAATACCATTTATACCTAAAATTTTACATATTTTTAGTCAATATGATTTAAAATACATTTTTTTTATTAAGATTTCTCCTATTTTAAATGTATAGTTCGACAAATTGAGCATTTTTACGGTGTTGGACATTTTGAGATGAGGCATTTTGGTGGTGGGACATCTTGGGGTGCGACGTTTTGGGGCTGAGACATTATGGGGGTGGGCCATTTTCCGGCGAAACCAATAAACACAAAAATTTTTTTACAAAATTTGTGGAACTTATATACTTTAGGTACGCTTTTTTTAGAAATGCCTTTTTCTTTCCTTTTTCATCAATCAACCATAATTTTACGGAATGGTCAGCCTTTTTTTCTTCCTCGATTTCACTTAATTTTCCCTGTGGCATACTCATAAGAGAAGATGAACAAAGAGAAGATTAGTTTTTCTTTCCAATTTCACCAAAATTTTAAATTAACATTTGAATCAATATTCTTATTTTTATCTATTTCAATCTTAAAAATGATAATAAGTACATGGGTCTGCGTTTTGAGAAATAAGTTCGGTATTTACACCACTTTTTGGGCAAGTTTGGATCCCGGTATCAGCTCGGAGATATCACGGACTGATTTTGGTGCATTCGACTCAGAACTATGAACTGAAATATTGACGCGTGAGAAGTAAAAAGTAAAAGAATAAAGATGGAAAAGGAAAGAAGGGAGAAAGAAAGGCTGACCATTCCGTAAAATTATGGTTGATTGATGAAAAAGGAAAGAAAAAGGCATTTCTAAAAAAAGCGTACCTAAAGTATATAAGTTCCAAATTTGTAATTTTTACAAATTTTTTCCTAAATTTTTATTAAATTTTCACTTTTTGGCAGGATTTTAGGCAATTTTCGCAATATTTTCCCCAAAAACCTCAAAATATGCAGTAAAATATGCATTGTGCAACAAAGTCCGGAATATGCAAAAATATGCATTATATGCAAATAGAAACACCCTCTAAAGTTTTCAAAACTTGCGGAAACAGTGTTTTTTGTGCATAACACATCATGAAAAGTTTGCAAAAAAAATATGCATTTGCATAAAAATCCGGGCTCTATTTATCAGTGTAAAAATATGCTGGCGCTCAACTGGCCAGTTAACAAGGGGCGCTCAACTGGCCGCGCTCAACTGGCCCGGTCTCAACCGGCCCGCGCTCAACTGTCCTCGGTCTCAACCGCCCGGTCTCAACTGGCGGGGCTCAACCGGCCGGTCTCAACAGGCCCGTTCCGCAGTTTTACAATCAGGACAGTTGAGTGTCGCAATTAGAGCCTTTTTGTAAATACTGTAAATGTACACACCTTAGTAACACACATTGATAGAAAATAAAAAAACCTTTACTTTTTGTTTTTGTAAAAAATTACAAAAAAATTTTATGTATATTTTGGATTAAAATCCTAAAAAATTTCCAATGCCAATGCCATTCTTATATATAAAGTTTTATGAAAAAAACAGATAAATACAAAATTAAAATATTTAAATTTCTTCCAGTTCCATATTCGAATCAATTCATTTTAACTGAAGCAATTCAACAAGTGCCTCTGGCACCACCTTTTCGAAACGACCGGGTTCGTAAACATTAGTCAAATAATTAAATAAAAGGCTTATATTATATCCAGTTCTGAAGCATATTTCGATTAATTGAAGCAATTCTGTATATCTTTTTACGCCTGATAGTTGGCCATGTCGTTTCTAATTATAAATATTATATTTTTATTTGAATATATGTTTAAATGGAAGGCTGAATTTGAAGATTTAAAAGTCAAGGCTATTGTCGAGTAGATCTCCCCGAAGGGGTCTAGTTCAGGCTAAATTTTAGGCCATTTGGGTTAATATTATAGAAAGATGATTTTTGAAACATAATCTATTTTTGCGTGTAGTTATCTAATTTACGATATTGAAGTATCTATCGATATACGTGTAGGAAACGAGTGAAATTAAGGAACCAGGAAGTGAAATGAAATTTAGAATCTTTTTTTTAATTAAAAAATCCTTTTATTACAAACTTGTAATAATTTCATTAATATTTTTGAATATTTCTCTGCCTCATCCAGCATTATTTTTTGGCCATTAAGTGTTAAACCATTTGTAACAAAATGTGAAAAAATTATTGCACGGAGAAGAACATACTCCTCTTCATTTATCATTAACCTATTGAAACGTTCCATGATTGTTAAAAATATTTTTTGGCATAAATTATTTATTCTAAAATAAAAAAAAAGAAAATTTATTTCTAATTATTGGCTTTATTTTCTTTATATTTTGTAAAAATATGAAGAAATTTCATTAATTTTTTTACAAATTTCATTACTTATTAATTTTAGCTTCTAATTAAATTAGCCTTATATTAAATAGGCGTGCAGGCTTCGATCCTGCGACCTCCTGGGCCCGTAGAATAAATTCGGGGTAAGGGGTATTTAACCCCTACCTTGGGGTTAAATAACCCGTAACCCGCAGAATAAATTCAAACACCTAGCTTCGGGTTAAATGACCGGGTCAGATAACCCGGTTATCTGACCCGCGTAACATTACCGGTAGAATAAATTAATTACCCGGGTTGAATAACCCGCAGGTAAGGGGCAAATTGCAACCCTACTAGGGGGCAGGGTAACACGCGATTTATGCATAATTTCCAAAAAATTAAAACATTTATTAAATTGCAAAATTTTTAAAAATTTTAATTTTTATGCAAAACGTAGAAATAAGGTCGTATGCCAAAAAATTGTCTTTTTCAGCGCCGTAGGCGAAAATTTTTAGAATTTTGGAGCTCAAGCAGTCAGATTTCTTCCATTTTCAGCGCGCTTCAGGTAATTTACAACAATATTGAAAATCCCGTAAACTTCGCAAGGAAATTTTGTCAAAAATTTACCCCCAAGAACTAGTTCCAGACATTTACTAGTTCCATAGTTCCAGTTCCAAGCTGGTTCCAGGCAATTACTAGTTCCGTAGTTCTAGTTCAAAACTAGTTCCAGATAATCATTAGTTCCGTAGTTCTAGTTTTGGAACTGGAACTAATTAGTTCCGGAACTGGAACTTTGACAACACTGGATTTATTCCAGTAAACAATTATTGCGAAATGGGTTTGATAATAAAATATAAAGGGTCAAATAACCCAGTAACTCAACTAGTTGAATAACCCTTAGCTCGGTGTTAAATAACCCTTAACTCGGAGTTGAATTTATTCTACCGATTTTAACCCGTAGCTAAGGGTTATTTGCCCCCGGGTTGCTTAACCGGGTTATTTAACCGGGTTATCCAACCCCGAATTTATTCTACGGGCCCTGGCAGTTATTGCTAGGTGCTCAGTCAGCAACAGGTGACTGAGCCAACTGAGCTACCGGGACGCTGCTTTCACTTTCTCTTTTAATAGATCATAAACCCCCGCCTAGTGAGCGTTTTAAATGCTAGCCAGCTTGATCTTTCTCTTCCTTACAATAAAATAATTACTCAAATCAAACACTATAAGGTATAAACATTTAAATTCTTCTAAAAGAAAGGTTTATTATCAAAATTAACTACTTAACGTTAAATTTCCTTTATAATAATCTCCACTAAAAGCTGCAAACATAGGTAATCTTTCTGTTGTTATAACAGCATCTGACAATTTAGTACTAGAATAATATGCAGTTGCTAAAACTATAATGGCCCAAGAAATATTTTTAAGTTGAGTAACCTTCAAAAAATAATTTTTTTCTTTTAAATTTTTTTCTTAAAATTTATTTACAATATCAGACATTTCCAATTTATTAAAGAAAGGCATTATTTTAGCCATATTAACAATTAACATAAGATCCTCAATTAATGAGTGTGGATGGATAGCGAAAAGTCCATTTTTATTAAGAAACTCAAAATAATCTGTATCGGGAATTTTAATTTCTTCATCCTTAAAATTACTCGAAAAATCTTTATTTAAACTTCAAACCAAACCAAATATTCGCAACTTTTTGAAATTAAATTTTCTTGTTGATTAATTAAATCATTTAATGTTTTACAAGAATAATTATAATGTTTTTCAATAACTTTTGTGGGTGAAATTCTGATTCTTTGAACATTTTGTTCTATCAATAAAAGATAGTCGATTATTTGACTGTCTTGATTTTCGATTAAATAATTTTGCTAGAAAAATTAAATTTAATTTGGATATTTATTTTATTTAAAAATATTAATAAAGTAAAGCGTCCAGAAGATAAAAAAATACATGGAGCTCTCCTAAACACCTAAACACCGTTGTTATTTGTTTGAACAAGGGTAGCATCCCGAGCCCACGGGGGCGGGATCGTCTGGGATCGGGGTTTGCCGGGGTAGAGCCTTCGAGGTTCGAGTCGGGGTTTTTGCCTAAGAATTCATCTGGCTCGGGCCGGGGTTTCGGGGTGCTACCCTAGTTTGAACCATCCCAAAACGGATTGTGATTTCAATTTTTGATTTTTAGGGATCAAATAAATTAATTTTTTGGTTAAAAAATATTTAATTTACCATAACAGAAAATACAGCATTTAAATTTATATTAACATAATTTTCAATTTTTCTTTCTACATATTTCCCATTTAATGCTAATTCACCAATTCTTTGTTCAATTAATGAACGAACATCCCATATAGATTTATTGTGAGGACCTTTCAATTTTTCTACATTCATTCCTTTTAAAATACATTTATCGAAACGGCAACTTTTGCATTTGTTTGGAACTGTAAATTAATTTTTTTAAATTTATTTTGAGTTAATTTAGTGATCAGAAGATGCTGTGTGAGATTTTGCGGGATTTTTAATATATTTGTCCAGAAAACAATGCCTTGTGAATGTTTCAGGAAAAAATCCTGGGCGCTGGACAAAAGATCTTGCTTGTGATTTTACGGGATTTTTACAGGATGCAGTGTCTTTTTGCATTTATCCAGTAAAACAATGTCTTATGAATGCTTTACGAAAAAAATCCCGCATACGGGATCCCTCAAATATTTATTTTGTCGGTCACTAATTTAAATTATTAAATAATCTAACGAAAAATTAATTTTCTACCATTCATTATTTCACAATTTCCTTCAGATTTACATTTAATTTCATCCTTTGTTGCAATACAACGACGAAAAAAATGTTTACAGCCTAACAAATAAATAATTTTTTCTTAAATTTATTTAAAACAAACCATCACAACACATAACCCCATAATAAATATAACCACTAGCTATACCTCCACAAACACGACAGTTTATTGGGAAGGCTTTTTTAGTTATTAATTTTTTATTTTCATTTCCCTTTATATTTTGTTTAGAAATTGGATAATTTAAATTTTGTTGGAAATTATTATTTTCTTCCATTTCCTTTAAAATTATTATTATTTTTAAGTGATTTAAGTAGTCGATCCTCGATCCTTAACTCGAGATTTAAGATGCTTCTTTTTAATTTTGGGTGGCTACTGGGTAGGACTGCCTAAGCGATACCGAAGTACTCTAATTATAAGGGGCGATTTTTCTGCACCAAGGGGTAGCTAAAAATGAAGTTTGAATTTGTTTAAAAATTTTTGAAATTTAATTAAATATTCCCAAACCCGGATATTTGTTTTAAATGGCGGCAAGATGTCTGGCAAGTAATGAATGAAAAGAGTACCCATCAATTACTATTTTAATATAAAATAAATTAATTTATTTAAAACAATTCGATAAATCTATTTACGGTAAAAAGTAAAAAATTATTAAAAAAATTTTTTAATATTTGCGCAGCTTTTATTATATTAGTCAACGGAATAAAAAGGTAATATTTTAATGACTTGTAAATATTAATTTTTACTTTGAAAAATAATATTTTAAAGTTGCTTTGGTAACCAAAAATAAATATTTAAATAAAAATCATAGGAAACAAATAAATATTTACTTTGTAAAATCAATTCTTTCAAATCTATATTTTAATAATAAAATGCAAAATAGGTATGTATATGTATTAAATATCAAAAATTGGAAAAGTTAAGTTATTTTTGATTAATTAAATTCTATTTAATTGGTTACATGATAAAATTTTAAAAATTGGCCGAAGTTAAAAAAATTAATTTTAAAATTATCTTCTTAGAAAAATTAGATTGAATTATTTAGAACTGATATGTATGTTTGGTACTGCAATTAGATATATTATAAAGTTACTTTATTTAATTATGTAGTAAAAGCTGGCACTAAATTGTCAGCTTTTCTATTTTAATATTGAGGATGTATGTGAAAGAATTTATTTCATATGATAATTGGTAAGGGTTGTCCCCAAGATTCTGCCGGCAAATACATAGTAAATCCAAATTTAAATAAACTAGTATGACTTATTTTTTCCAAACTAAAGAGTGCGTGATACAAATAGTACAATGTAATTTTATTTTTATTTCCACCAAAAATACTTTTTATTCAAAAAACAATTATTTTCTCTTATTTTTTACAATTCTTTTCCTCGACACATTTATTATTTTGATTACGAACAAATCTTTCAATGGCTCTATTTCCTACCATTCGTTGAATACAAAGACAACGTTGTGCTCCACAAACTGGTTTAGTTTTACAAGGGGGATTTGGATTTTTACATGTTCCATCACATCCACATTTTTGTGGTTCTTCGTTTTGTCCACATTTAATAGCTTAAAAATTATTAGAAAATTAATAATTTGAAAATACGTTTTGTTGAGGTTTCAACAGCATTTGTAAAAATTTCTTGCTTGATATAAATAATAAAAAATAATGTTATAATTAGTATATAATTTTTAAAAATCATTTTAATATTTAAATATATTTATTTAATTCATAAACATGATAATTAAGGCAAAAATGGTTGCCTTTTATTTCCAAAACTTCGAAATATTTTTAAAATTAAATGCTAGAAACAGTGATTAATTTGAAAAAAATGTAATAATTTTATGTTATATTTAGCATTTATTTATAAAATATTCTTAAATATTAAAATCTAAAAAATATTTTGACATTCAGATAATTGTTAATGCTTTAAATATTAATTTTGTATACTTATTTTTTACTGTTTTTGGTCTTAAAATTCTTTTATAAATAGTTGTTATAAAATATAAAGTAAAGCGATCGAACCCCTCATAGGAAAGGAATATTTGGATTTGATATTGAGAGCTCTCAGCTGGAAGGCCATCCCACAATAAACTCATCGTTTTAATTATTGCTTTATTCGCTAGGATGGGAGAAAACTTTGCCAGTCTTACAATACAACTT